CAGCCCCTCTGTGTCTGGCAACTGTTGGATTGCTGGACACAAGTCCCAGAACTACAGTTACATGCTTTGCATGACCTAGGGAAGTTACACTTCTTGGTGCTTGATACTCACAGTGGCCTATATACAAGCCCAGAGGATCAAATATCAGTAAGTTTCTTCTGCATTGCATAGCACAGGGTTCAGGGTGCTCAGGTCACAAGCCCAGCAACACGATCACATACCTTGTGGAAACTGGGGGCAGTCCCTTCTGTGTCCTTCAGTGACAGAACTGTGATGGTTAGTGTTGTAATCCCTTCATGGCCTTATCTGAATTTCTGTGCTTCAGGTGTGTGACTGCCATTCTAAAATCCCCAGAACTACCTCCACTTGCCCAAGAAATCCTGTAAAACAACCCCACTGCATCCAAGAGCTCTGGGACTGTGACTGTTGACTCTAAATCCCAGGGATACTTGTGGGATCTGAAGAAGGTCCTGTCTCTATTTCATAGATCCAGACCAGCACTTATATTAAGCCTGCCGAAGGCATACTATAAACTGTGATCACCATGGGGAACCTGGATAAGCTACCCTCCAAGTCCTACAGTTTTGCAAGTGTTACTCTTAGAACTCTATTCCACAGAATCACCCAAATTTACCTCAAGGGATGAAGGTAAAGACTATACTATGTTGTTGTTTGTTCTCTAAGTCTCAGGGACACTTGTATTTACCTTTGCGGCATAGAAAAAGCCTTATCTACATCCTGAAAATCCAGGTTTGCACCTGTTTCCCTAGAATAACCTATAAAAAGCTGCAGGACATAGTTAACGCACCCTCTGAGTCTTGACTCTCTGAGATTGATAATGTTGTGCCTCAAGCCACAATATCACTCAGGCTTGTCTTGTGAGACAAGATAACAGCCCCTTCTGTGTCCCATAACAACAGAAACATGACTGCTGCCATTACAAACCCTGTAGTGATTGACACCTGAATCTGGGTCCATGAGACACACATCTATTATTTTCATGAATTGCTGCAGACTAGACAATTATGGCATTAATAGCCTCTGTTGAAGAAATAACTCAGAGATTATGCTTCTGAGCTTACCTAAACTTGCCTACATCCAAGCCAAAGCAACCACCCAACTGACACCCCACATTCCATTTAAACAAAAAAAATTGTTGCCAGTGAAATCTACTCTATAACAAAGAAGGAACATTTACACTACGTGTTTAAATAACAATGTAGGCACAACAGAAACATGAAAAATCAAGGAAGCATGACACTTCCAAAAGAACACGATAGTTCTCTAGAAATAGATCCTGATAAATGAAATCTATGAAATTCATGGAAAGGAATTCAAAATAATGACCTTAAGGCATTTCAATGAGATTAAAGAGAACAAAAACAGAGAACTTAGAGAAATGAAGAAACCAATGCATGGCCTCAATGAGAAATTCGACAGAGATAAAAAAATCATTAAAAATGATCAGTCAGAAATTTCGGAGCTGGAAATGCCAATCAGTGAAGTAAGCCATGCATTTAAGACGACCAACAACAGGATAATTAATCCAAGCAGGAAAAAGAATTTCTGATCTTTGAGGAAAAGTTTTTGGAAACAACCCTGTCAGAAAAGAACAAAGGGAAAAGAATTAAAAAGAACAAAGAAAGCCTATGAAACATATAGGATATAACTTTAAGTGAACAAACATTTGTGTTACAGGGATGTCTGAGGGAGAAGAGAAGGAAAATGGCATTGATAAACTATTTAATGAGACAATACTGGAAAACTTCCTAATTCTTGAAAGAGACATAGCCATCCAGATGCAGGAAGGTCCAAGGACCCTTATCAAATTCAATAAAAAGATATCTTCTCCAAAGCGCATTCTAGCCAAATTGTCGATGGTAAGGACAAGGAATGATCCTAAACACGGTGAAAGAAAAATGTGACATTACATATAGAGAAAAGTGCACTACACAAATAACAGACATCTAACAGGTCAGAAGAAACTGGGATGATATAGTCATTGGTACCAAGTCAGTTAGCTCAAAGGAATCAGTGGGGAGACTATAGTTCACTGTATCCCAGAAGATACCATATGAACAAATAGAAAGAATAAAGCTGTAACACTCCAATCAAAAAGCAATGTCAAATAAGAGGAAATGATGATTACCCAGCTTTGACCAGTGTGTGCTATGTACATGTATTGAAATGATACACTGTAGCCCATAAATATATGCAATTATTACTAACAAAAAGGATGTCATAAAACATTTGAATATGTGGGGTTAAACTTCTATCTTAATGTAGGAATCTAAACGTTAAATTTACAAAATATATTTAGTGAATTTATATCCTTAGAATTGTACCTATGAACCACACTAAATATGTTCTCTTTATATTAATTAAAGCTTGTAAATAGAATAGGACATTGATTTCTGATGGCAGTACGTAGAATACATTTCAAAGAAAACAAAAATGAAAGCAAAAGTAATGCGCTCCCTTTGACTCTTAGTCCTTTCATTATGATCAATTGTGAACTGAAATTGATCACTTGGAATAGTGAGATGGCATTGGCACATGCCACCTTGATGGGATTGAATTGGAATCCCCTAGTATGTTTCCAACTCTACCAATTGGGGCAAATCAGCCCGAGCATGCCCCAAATTATACATCTCTTCCCTCTCTTATTCCCACTTTTATGTTTAACAGGGATCACATTTCAGTTAAATTTCAACACTTAAGAATAACTGTGTGATAATTACAGAATTAAACCAGTCATATTAAGTAGAACAGACAAAAAAAAAAAATACTATGAGGGATAATGTATTAAGTTGTCCATTAGCAGTCAGGGCTATAATGAAAGGACTAAGAGTCAAAGGGAGCACATAAACAAGTCTAGTATCTGCTAACACTAACCGATAGAATAAATAAAGGGGAGAGTGATCCAACATGGGAAGTGAGATACTCAGCAGACTCATAGAATGGCAGATGTCCTAAATAGCACTCTGGCCTCAGAATCAGCCCTAAAGGCACTCGGATCTGGCTGAAAAGCCCATGAGAGTATTTCAGGCATGGAAAGCCAAGACACTCTGGCAAAAAGATCTCTGTGAGTGAGATCCCAGTGGAAAGAACAGGTCTTCAAAGAGGGAGGTGCCTTTCTCTGAAGGGAGGAGAGAACCTCCACTTTGACTATGACCTTGTCTAAACAAGATAAGAGTCGGAGAACTCAAGGGGCTTCCATAGCCTTGGAAACTCATGACTGGTGCATAGGGAGATTACTGATGCCATAAACAGGAGTGTCAATTGGTAAAGTCAACAACAGGAGTCACTGTGCACTTACTCCTCATGTAGGATCTCTGTCCTTAATGTGCTGTACACTGAGGCTTAATGCTATAACGAGTACTCAAACAGTATATTTCACTTTGTGTTTCTATGGGGGTGCAAACTGTTGAAATCTTTACTTAATGTACACTAAACTGATCTTCTGTTAAAAAAAAAAAAAAAAAAAGAAAAGAAACTATCAATTCCCAACTTGACTCTCACTGGGATTAAACATGACAATAGGTCTGATCTGATTTCATCATCATTTAAAAAAAAATCATCTATTATTTTTCACTTTATGTTTCTGTGTGGGAACAAACTGTTGAAATCCTTACTTAAGGTATACTAAGCTGATCTTCTGTATACTAAGATAATCGAAAATGAATCTTGATGTGAATGGAAGGGGAGAGGGAGTGGGAAAGGGGAGGGTTGTGGGTGGGAGGGACGGTATGGGGGGGAAAGCCATTGTAACCCATGAGACGTACTTTGGAAATTTATATTCATTAAATAAAAGATAAAAAAAAAAAAAAAAAGAGTCTAAAAAAAAAAAAAAAAAAAGAAAGCAAAAGTAATGCAACTTGTGAAGGTATATATCAATATCGATCTAATCACTTCTGAATGTATCTGAGACTAATTTTAAATAGTTTAATTCAAACAAATTGGATGGATTCAATCAAAGGAGACAAATTAAAATGAAGGTTCTATTATACTCAGTTCCAGAAAAATAATATCAGCAAAATATTTTAATAGTATAAAATATTACAATCATAAATGATAGCAAACTATTCCTAAGAATATATTTTTATTTTTAATCCAACACTTGTTATTGTAATATTCTTTAAAACATCAAAACAAATGATAAGGACTAATGTCTGCTATGATTTGAATGTTCTCTCCAAAAGTTATGTTGAAATTTAATTGTCATTATACTACTATTAAGAGGTGGAGCCTTTAACAGGGGATTATGCCATAAAAAGATTTCTGTCTTTATGAAAGGATGAACAGCATTATCACAGGAGTAGCTTTGTTATTGTTAAAGTGGGTTATTCTAAAGTGACCTCAGCCTTCTTTTATGATTGTTCTTGTGCAGGTTCAGTTTCTTCCACCAGGTAATGATGCAGCATAGAGGCTCTTGCTAGATGCCATTACATGATTTTGAACTTCCCAGTCTCCAAAACTATGGGAAATATGTTTCTTTATTTATAAATTACGCAGTCTCAAGTGTTCTTTTATAGTATCTCAGAGTAGATGACAAAATTGGAAGATATTACAGCTAACATTTATTTTGCACATGCTCTGTGTTATGCAGTATTCTAAGTACTCACATAGAATAATTCCTTTAATATCATAATGCATATGAAATCCTACTTTTAAAATATATTAATTTTACATTCATAGGTGAAAAATTTAAGATGTAGAGAAATTAGTTAATAACTATTCAAGGGCACAAAGATAATACATGGTACCATTTAAATACAAATTTTAACCATTTTTAGATCTTATTTTCTTAACTACTATATTTTATAATCTGTAATTATTTTAATTCACACATATTATAACACTTAAATAATATTTTATGTAATTGATAATATTGATGTTCCTAAAATATTTTATTGTCTTAAGCATTTTATTTATTTTCTATATTTTATTCACTGATGCAATTCACCAGAGACAGTCTATAATAGCATAATTAAGCATGTTATAAAAAATGTATCAACAAAATGGGAAGAATTGAGATAAATAGACACAAAATAACAATATGATGGTGAATGAGTCATATGCTAATTGTATGGTTTAGTATGTTAATGTAATATCCACAGTAAGGGATGCTCATGAGCTAGTTTTAACTTGCCAATGCAGTAAACAACTTCTGAGGGCAGAGAAGCTTCTTAATTGCAATCTTCATGTCCTTATTTCTCAAGCTGTAGATGACAGGGTTGAAAAGCGGAGCAAGAACTGCAAACATCAATGCAATGGCTGTGTCCAGAATTTGTGGAAAGGTGGTAGAGAAGCGTAGATACATGAGGGATACACTGCCATAGAACATCAGAAAGACACCCAGATGAGCTGCACAGGTCGAAAAGGCCTTCTGGCGGCCTTCGGCGGAGGGAATTCTCAGGATCACTGTGATAATTCTGATATAAGAGAGGGCGATAATCAGGATAGAGAAGATGATAGCCACAGCATGGATCACGTCCTCAATCAGAATCAGGGATGTGTCTGTGCAGGCCAAGCGCAGCACAGGTTCAAAGTCACAGAAAATCTGATGAATTTGGTTGGGTCCACAGAAGGGCAGTGTGGAAATCCAGGCAATCTCTGGCAGCAATACAAGAAAGCCAAAGATACAGGAGCCTACGGAAAGCTGAGCACACAGTCGGGGTGTCATGATGGTTGGATAGCGGAGAGGGTTACAGATGGCAACATACCTATCAATAGCCATTGTGGTCAACAAAATCCCTTCTGAATTTCCCAGTGAATGGAAAAAGTACATCTGCAAGAGGCACCCAGTCATAGAGATGGTCCTCTGCTCACTGATGAGGTTGGAGAGCATTTTGGGGATGGTAGCAGTGGTATACCATATCTCCAAAAATGAAAAAATGCTGATGAAATTATACATGGGGTTGTGGAGGTGAGTATCCATCTTGACTGCAAAAAATACTATGAGATTCCCAATAACAATGAATATGTAGATGATTAACAAAGGAATGAAGAGGAGAATGCTACCTTCTTCAAACTTGAGGAATCCAGAGAAGAGAAACTCTCTCACTGTGGATGTCTGGTTACTTCTCCCCATGATCTCATCGAGTTTAGTTGTTAGAGACACAGCCCACCTCCGAGATGAAATGTAAGCAGGTACATTCGCTAATATAAGAGTCAAATGAAAATTCACTTTAGGTAGACGAAATATCTTTCTTTATAGATTAATTTTAAAATTATTCACTTAATGCTTAACACATGCTGAACACAAAATGGGTTTGCTAAACTCAGCAGTGAAGAAAATAGTCTCTACTTTCATTAAGCATATATTCTAGAAAAAGATACAACTAATAAGAAAATTAGATACCAAGACTATCATGTTTACTAACTAAATTGATTAAAATAAAGTAGGATGCTAATAGTAGGAGTGCTAATAATAACCTTTTCTAATAACTTCTCAAATTGTTTTGAATCACATAAAAACAAATTCTCTAATGGCTATTGGCTACAGATTAGACAAAACATTTAGGTCTGTCATTCATTATATAATTACTGTGAAGTCATATTCCCAGTTTCCAGCATTCTGATCCTTTATTACACCACAGTGTAGCTTTGATTGGGGGTAGAGAAGAGGGTAATCTACAGAGGCAGCAATATCGGGTAAAATTCACCCCCAACAACAGAAAAAATTAAGTTAGCAGAAATTGATTAGCACAAAAAGAAGGGCCTGGTGAGAAACTAAGCAGTGGAATGATTTGGATTTTATTTCAGTTCAGCTCCCAATGTGTCAGATTAGATAAGATATTGAAAAGAATCCAATATTATTCCTAAAAGTCTAAATCTCCTTATTCTGACATAGATTATTAGGCAATGAGAAAGATAAGAGCCAAAATGTGAGATTCTACCATAATTTAGGTCCCTTGATAATATTCCCCTTGTAACCAACATGAAATATGAAGATGTTGTCTCTAGAAACAGTGCAAAGAGACTCATCTCTGTCCACAGGGAGTGTTAGCCTGTCAAACCAGGGAGCTGGCCAAACCAGCAGACAGAATATCATTCAAGGACAAGCGTTTAGAACACCAAAGCAGTTAGAAAAAATATTTTTTGGAAAAATATAACTATAAAAAATGGACTTCTTATGCAACTAAATAATAACATTCACTTATGCCTATTAAGATAGTAAATATTTTTCCTGAGCTAATACTATGTTTTAAATTATCTGTAGGAGAAATTAATTTAAAATGTCATGGAGGTTTAGTTAAGAATTGTATTTGAAAATTAAAATGAAGTCAATGCATAGTATTTGGCATGTATCAACATTTTTCATAGATCATATCAGAACAAAATACGTATCTTGAATAAATTCAATTAAGAACTAGTTTATATTGACTAAGTTTGTCAGACATTATTTCAGCAACTTCTGGTAAATCAAATGTCATTAGGAAATTAGGGATTATTGATTATTCTAATCCTTTAAATTTTCATTAACAGGGTTACTACAAACATGAAAATGTTATTGCTCTACAGATATCAATTGTTGTTGATTCATCTACTGTTTGTGGATAAGTTTCTTCCTGGTTCTCCTAGCTATGTTGTATGAATAAATAATCTTTTCAGTGTAGTCTTCAACTCTTTTCTCTTAACTCCAAACTATTGAAATTTGATATTTACTAGCTCTTTGACAAGATGTGTTACTAAGCTGCTGATGCGAAAGTTGATCAATCCAACCAGTATATTCACTAGTTCTTGAGTATAATAATTTAAAGATGAAATTCTGAGTTAATGAAACTGGATGGCACAAAATTAGCTAGCATATTTTACTCACTCAAAGCTGGTTACTAATGAATTGACTGAGCAAAAATGATAAATTAATTAATCTGAACACTTAATATAAATAGATTTTTATTACATTAAAATGTGATTTGGCAAGAAGTAATAATTTGATTATTAATAGCCACAGAGTAAGACCTTAAGTCTATTGATGGAGAATGCAAAAAGAAAACTTCTTTTGCTTTTCCTGAGTTAAGTATTAGCCACTTCAGTGGCTCCCTCAAGAATGAAACTACCCTCCCAACTGCATTGCTCCATCTGACTGGGACTGGTTAACCGGTTTATGGGGGTACATGGATAGATGGGAGAAAACAACTTTTCTGATCGTATCTTCTTACTCATAGTGTTGCCGCAAGCAACTGAAGGATTTACTGTTAACTTTCTTTTTGAGTCCTTGTTTTATTTAGCTATTACAAGATTTGGTAGCTTAATGCACTCTTTCTCTCTCTCAATTTTACTGAGACCCTGAACTACACACATGAAAAGATTAAACAAAGGGGAAAAGATTTATACTATCTTCATTTTGAAATCAGTGTAAAGACCACTACTAATTTCTGAAAACAGACGTCCTGGGTTTCTAAAACGACCGGAATTATTTTTTGCATCCCTATTTATCCCTACAATAATTCATGTTAATCCTTTTAATAGAATAGAGGTTCTGATGCTTTAGCAAAATCAATTTTCCACTTTATAGAGATTAATACGCCAATTATAAATTAATCTGTGGGAGACTGGCAAGAGAAAAGGATTGACCAATTCCACCTGGAAGTTAGCTTAAAAATTTTATATGGGGATAGAGAACATGTTCCATTTGAGTCACTATTCTGGGATAAGATTTTCATTAATAGGCTTCTCTGATATATCTGAACTCTTTATTTCAGTAATGATCTTACTGGTTTATATTCACTTAGCTGGGGCCAGAGGCCACAGTGTAAAATGGCATCCTCCTGGATAATAATTGGAAAATCAATTGCTCACTCTCTCTCTCTCTCTTTTTCCTTTAAAATAACCTTACAAAAATGGTCTAATTTAGAAAACTCTGAGGGTGTGAAAGCAGGGAAACAATACAATTACCAGTGAAAATGGCATTGTGCAATCAATCTATTATGCCCCAGAAAAAAATAACATCATCACTGATTTCTAATCATAAAGTTTCCTCCTTCATATTGAAACTAAATTCCTTCAGCCATTCATGCAATTTCAAATATATCACAAAATATTGTTGAATCAAAGGAATGCTAGGTACCTGTTCTTTTCTCTATGGTTGGCAGGTGATGTATGTTCTCCTTAACACACGATAACCCTCCTTCCTGGATTCACGTGGACTCTTCTCTTACCTCTGACAGAGACAAGGAGGCCTCTCCCCTTTCCAGGTGTATGCTGTTTAAGTCACTTCAGTTGAGCCATACTTGTTTTTTAAAAGGTTTCACAGTGATGGTCTCCACTGGGGCATTTCCCATTGATAACTAGGAAAAAACAGCAATTCTATTTCCCCATGGCTTAATTAATAGAAATCTCTCCTTTGATACTTTTCTCATTAGTGTCCTGTAGTGTTGGGAACTCATAGAATTTTAAGATAGTATGGGCCACATTAGATGTATTTGCTCAGAATCAGTTGGTTATTTGAATGCACATTTTAAAAAATAATTGCTTTCAATAAAATTAAAGATTAACATTATATATTCATGTATGCGTGTGTTACCTTCTGAAAAAGCTAGTTAAAATGGACGACTGTTAGAAGCTCCTAAATTTAAAAAAAAAAAAATAAGTTTTGAAAATACATCAAAGGGCCAGTGCTGTCGCGCAGTGGTTAAAGCCCTGGCCTGAAGCGCCTGCATCCCATATGGGCGCTGGTTCTAGTCCCGGCTGCTCCTCTTCCAATCCGGCTCTCTGCTGTGGCCTGGGGAAGCATTAGAAGATGACCCAAGTCCTTGGGCCCTGCACCCACATGGGAGAACCAGAAGAAACTCCTCACTCCTGGCTGCGGATCGGCACAGCTCCAGCCCTTGCGGCCAATTGGGGAGTGAACCAGCAGATGGAAGACCTCTTTCTCTGTCTCTACCTCTCTCTGTAACTCTGTCTTTCAAATAAATAAAATAAATCTGAGAAAGAAAGAAAGAAAGAAAGAAAGAAAGAAAGAAAGAAAGAAAGAAAATACATCGGGGCCTGTGCTGTGCCATAGCGGGTGAGGCCACCCACCTGCAGTGCTGGCATCCCATATGGGCACCAGTTCGAGTCCCAGCTGCTCCACTTCCGATCTTGCTCTCTGCTATGGCCTGGAAAAACAGTGGAATATGGCCAAAGTCCTTGGACCCCTGCACTGGAGGAGACTCCTGGCTCCTGGCTTCGGATCGGCAAAGCTCCAGCCGTGTGGCCAACTGGGGAGTGAGCCAGCAGATGGAAGACCTCTCTCTCTCTTTCTCGCTCTGTGCCTCTCCTTCTCTCTCTGTAAAAATAAAAAAAGAAGAAGAAGAAGAAAGAAAGAAAGAAAGAAAGAAAGAAAGAAAGAAAGAAAGAAAGAAAGAAAGAAAGAAAGAAAGAAAGGAAGGAAGGAAGGAAGGAAGGAGGAAAATACATCATTGTAAATTCCTGAATCTGTATAAAGTACAGAAATTTGTATACCATAGATAAAATTTTAAAAACATATAAAAATTAAAAAGTACATCTGAGTCATATGAGTACAAAGTTAAAAGTAGAGATTATCTCTTAAATTTATACCCAAAGTTAATCAGAGTTAAAGATGTAATTTCATTTTGTTTATAAATTGACAGTCACAACTCATTAGCGAGTGATGAAATTAACTTCAAAAATGTTTTGATACTAGAGGATTAAGCTTATGATTATAAAATAAAATGAAAATATGTCATTGTAAAAATTAAAAGAATAAGAAAGGCAGGAGGGGGAGGGTGGGAGCATGGATGGAAGGGAGGGTAGGGTGGGAAATATTGCTATGTTCTTAAATCTGTATATAGGAAACACATGAAATTTTTCACCTAATATAAATTAAAATATTGAAACAGTGGTTTTAGTGAAATATAATAGGAAAAAACAATAGAAAAGACTAGAAATTTCATATGCAGTGCATGTAAATATTATTTCCTTAAAGTGTTTTCTGTTATAACTATAAATGTGAATATGTATATGTTCTGTAATTTAAAATACATTCTTTTTTAAAAAAGATTTATTTATTTATTTGAAAGTCAGAGTTACAGAGAGAGAGAAGGAGAGGCAAAGAGAAGGAGAGAGAAAGGTCTTCCATCCGCTGGTTCACTCCCCAGTTAACTGCAACAGCCAGGGCTGCGCTGATCAGAAGCCAGGAGCCAGGAGCTTCCTCCAGGTCTCCCACAAAGGTGCAGGGGTCCAAAGACTTGGGCCATCTACTACTGCTTTTCCAGGCCATAGCAGAGAGCTGAATCAGAAGTGAGCGGCCAGGACTCAAACTGGCCCCTATATGGGATGCTAGCACTACAGGTGACTGGTTTAACATGCTACACTACAGCACTGGCCCCTAAAATACATTCTTTATTGTGAATCACTGT